ATTTGGAGTTCGGGTTTTTGAGATATATGGAAAATAGTTTTTTGGGTGCTTGTAAATTAGGATTTGGAGTGTGTGCTAGGATTTCTTAGATGCCAGAAGATCAGTAGTGAATTTGCAATTGGTTTTTTTTTGTAGTAAGAGTTAAGGGTAAATTCTACCTATCTTGTAAATTTGAAAGAAATTACACAAATAGATCAATAGTTTTGATTTTCTAAAGTTTGGGGCGAGAAAACCCCTTTGCGGAAGAAATATGTTTTGAAGGGATTTTGTTATATTTGGAATTTTATACAAAAATAAAGGAGTTTTAGAAGCTAAGAAAAGAATCATATAAAGGTTTAAGGTACACTTTCTACAGCTAGATACCCAGTGTATTCCCAGATAGCAAATCATGCCTTACGACACCGTATACGCAGATCACAAGAATTTGGAGTATTTCATGTCGGCTCGAGTTCTAAATTGATGTCAAACTCAGTATAATATGTCACTATCTAGGTTTGATTTTATTATCACTTATCGACCTGGAAAGTAACAAGGACTATTTGATGCCTTATCGAGGAGATCATATCTTGTACCAAAGGCTGAAGAAGCAACGTTTGATCAACAATGTATGACGTTGTTGAAGCCAGAGCAATTTCGGCTTTGTGCTACTATTGTACCAATTGATGCTGACTTCCTGAATCAGGTATGTGCCATGACCATTGAAGATTTAGTAGCCATTGATATCAAGTAGCGTACCAATGATGACAAGTTCAAGGTGGAGGGAGATCTTTTATACTTTGAGGAGCGGTTGTATATCCCAAAAGGACCAGCACGACTTTGAGTTCTTCAATCTTGCCACGATTTTCCAATTGCGGGACATTTTGGATTCAACAAGACCTTGGAGCTTATTTCTCGAGATTTTTGGTGGCCCCGAATGTGAAAGGATGTGAAAGATTTTGTCCTCTCTTGCGACATATGTTCAAGATCTAAGAATCCTCGGCATCGCCCTTATGGACTCTTACAGCCATTGCCGATTCCACGTCGATCATGGTCTTCAGTTTCCATGGACTTCATCACAGACCTGCCATCATCGAAATCATTTGACAGCATCTTTGTCGTGGTAGATCGGCTTACAAAGATGGCGCACTTTGTCCCTTGCAAGAAGACATTGTCTAATGAAGTCACAACAAGACTCTTTCTCGATAATGTGTATCGATATCATGGACTACCAGATGATATCGTATCAGATCGAGGAACCCAGTTCGTATCAAAGTTTTGGAGATCTCTCTTTAAGATACTGAAGGTGGATATCAAGCTTTCTTCGGCTTTTCATCCTCAAACTGACGGCCAAACGGAACGAGTGAACCAAGTCTTGGAACAATACTTACGATGCAGCATCAACTATTAACAAGACGATTAGACCACATATCTGCCACTAGTCAAGTTTGCATATAACCACACCTTCCATGTGTCTACTCAATACACACCATTCTTTTCCAACTATGGATATCATCCGAAGCTTGTTTTATTGAGTCCATCAATAAATAACAATATAGTAGTTGAAGGATTTACGAAACAACTATCAGAGCTTCAAAATACGTTGAAGCTTCAATTACAATCCGCTCAAGAATCCTACAAGGCGTCTACAGATAGATTTCAGAATTAAGCACCTACTTTCAAAATTGGAGATAAAGTATGGCTTCTTTGACAAAATATCAAGACCAAGCGACCATGTGATAAGTTGGACTATCAAAGATTGGGACCATTTATCATCCAAAAGTAAATCAATCCAGTGGCGTATCGTTTGGAATTACCGGCTTCTATGAAGGTACATCCAGTCTTTCATATTTCTCTGTTGGACCCTTATCGAGAGTCGTCTTTTCCTGAAAGAATGCAGTGTCCGCCACCTAGTATTGAGATCGAAAACCACGAGGAATACGAGGTTGAAAAGGTGCTGGATTCACGACGAGGGTGGGGCAAGTTGGAGTATCTTGTTCATTGGTGTGGCTACGATATTAATGAGCAAACGTGGGAGCCAGTTGAAAATCTCGCCAATACGCCGCAAAAGGTACAAGAGTTTTATCAACAACATCCTCATAAACCTAAGCCGGTTCGACGATAGCTTCTTTCTAAAGCTTGCTCATCCGAGAATATAAGAAAGGGGGAGAGCACCACCAAAATTCGAAGTTGATGTAGTTATTTTTTCCAAGATAAAGTAGAATTTTTTTAGTAGCCATAGTTTGGTCTTCTGATATGGATAGCCAAGAGATAGATACTATGCCAGTCAGATTATCTCAATCGACTAGCTCACGAAGGCGACCTCAAAATCATGAACCGCCTACACCACAACGACGACAGAGGATACCGAGTAACCGATCACTGGTGATTGTATTTGAGTTCGAGCCTACTTACGATGGTCAGCCAGAAGGCGTGTTTGTAGGACAATTTTACAATGAGGACACAGAAGTTCATGCTTGGTCAGAAGTCGAAGGAGTGGACCACTACCGTTGGCTTCAAGGACCGATGAACCACTTGCCTCGTGAACAATAGTTAAAATTCATAATAGACGTTATGTGACAGATCTTCATTTTCTTGCGTTGGTACTGATTAACAATAACATTGCTTCTCAGAGACCTTGAAGCTAAAGGAGGGGGTGATGTTAGGGACATAGTCTTTAGAACCTTCTAGAGACAAGTTTCTAGAACCTTCAAGAAGCAAGTCTCTGGAACCTTCTAGAAGCTTCCTAGTTGATGGAAATTGCTTCAGAAGCTTCCTAAATTAGAGTATATATTGGAATCGAGGCTGAAGAGTTCTTCAGTCTCGACAACACATCTCTTGGAGCTCTAGCTCACCTCTCTGGTGTTGTTCTTGTATTCATCTGATTAATTTAGTTCTTGTCAGTTCTTCCTGAACTTCTTGTTAGATCTCAAGTCTGTATTTTTGTGTCCATGACATCCTATAGAAGTAGCAACTAATGGTCATAGTAGCTTTGTAATATTTAATGTCATTAGATCTCTTTCTAATCCAATTATTTTAGGTTTATCATGGCTACAAAAATATAATCCTAGAATAGATTGGACTTCTTGTAGTCTTGAGTTTTTTGAAAGTATAACTAAGAGCGTAGTTAATCAAGTAGAAAGTCATAAGTCTAGTATAATTAAACCTGTATTTGTAGGTGCAAGAGCTTTCTTGCATGCTGCAAAAAATGGATCACCTTGTGTCATTTAAGCTACATCTCTTTCTATTGGTGAAAAGACTTCAAATGGCATTCAAAGCCAATATCAAGATTTTCAAGATGTATTTGAAAAGAAGAATGTAAATATCCTTCCAAAACATCGTTCCCATGATTGCTCAATTGACCTTCAAGAAGGAGCACAACTGCCATTTGGACCAATCTGTAGTTAATCATAAAATGATTTGGCTAAACGCAAGGAGTATATTGAAGAGAATTTGGCCAAGAACTTCATACGCCATTCCAAATCTCTAGTAGGAGCTCCAATTTTATTTGTGAAGAAAAAAGATGGATCATTGTGGATGTGTGTCGATTGTTGAGGACTCAACAAAATCAATATTAACATCTATCACTACATCTTGACAACATCTTGACAACATCTTGACAACATCTATCACTATCATGGATTACCTAAAGATATTCTATCAGATAGAAGAACCCAATTTGTATCAAGATTTTGGCGGATTCTTTTTAAGATTCTAAAAGAGGATATGAAACTATCTTTGCCATTCCATGCTCAAATTGATGGACAAACGGAGCGTGTTAATCAAGTTTTGGGATAATATTTATGATGTACTATCATCTACCAACAAGATAATTGGACAACTCTTTTGCCATTGGCAAAATTTGCTTATCATAATACACTATATTTTTCTACAAAACAAACACCTTTCTTTACCAATTATGGTTATCCATTACTGGATACTTTTGACTTTTCAAAAGCTGATAATCTTACAGCAAAAGATTTGGCAAATCATTTGTCAAAACTACATGCAACAATGAAGGCACAATTAAAAGAAGTTCAAGAACAACAAAAGTTCAATGCAGATGTCTATCAAAAGAAACAACCACCATTCCATGCAAGTGACAAGGTATGATTACTTTGTCGTAATATCAAGAGCACTCATCTTTGTGACAAGTTGGACTATCATAGACTTAAACCATTTCCTATTTCTGCACAAATAATTCAATTACATATCGTTTACAATTACAAAAGTTAATGAAAATTCATCCAATATTCAACATGTTTCTTCTTGAACTATACAAGATAGTGGACATACCAAGAAGAAGACAAACTCCACCTTCTCCTATAGAAGTAGACAATAATGAAAAGTTCAAAGTAGAGGAAGTCTTAGATTTAAGGGAGCACCAAAATAAAATGAAATATCTTGTCTATTGGCACAGATATGATATTAGTGAATGTACTTGGAAGCTAGCAAAGAATCTTGCAAATGCAACAAAGGCGATGGAGACTTTTCATCCATAACATCCATCAAATTGAAGATCAAAACCTTCTTTTTAAAAGAAACAAAATCTAGACAAGATACCATTCTAATTTCAATCTTTGTTTGTAGCTTCTTTGTAGTTGTGACGCTAAAGAAATGAAGAACCTACAATCAATGATTTCGACTGAAGAGCCTTTGTTTGCTAATCTACCAAACGAGACATTATGATTGTCACAACTTTCCAGACGACGTAATCGAGATGAAAATCCTCAAAAATGACATAAGCTTTTTTGAATACATAACGAGGTATAACATGTTTGGAATCACAACTTTGGAAAGGACTCCCAATATTTGATAATTTTACTAAAAGTAGGAACAACACTTAATGATATTCCAAATGTTTTATTTGAAAGAAATTATAAAGGCTTCAGAACAACCAAATAACACAGTGATCTTCCCACCTTACTATAAAATACTATCAATGACTGAGAGGCCCTATCAATCATCTTCAAAAAGAACATAGATCAAAATATGTGATAAATAAAATTTGCTACAACTTAAACTTCCACAACATGTGATCAATGCTCCTCGTAAAACTCATCCCAAGAAGAAGAATAAATTCAAGGACATATATTTAGTATAACTGTTACCTAAACATAATAAATAGATAGAAGTAAGTAAAAGAATGCATCTAAGGATCATCTAGTACAACTGTCATCGTCATTCTTGTTTGTGGTGCACACATATATAATAAAAAAAAAAATGATATGATGCGCTTCTTTCAGTCCATGTACCGTTGCTTCACGTTAGGCATACAAAGCATTCCCTCCACTGGGTCGAAGTCCAAATCCAGAAGAGGCGGCTGGAACGACCGAACCAAACTTCCTCCCAGCTTCTCGCCCTGCCAGTCTCTCGTAATCCCCAAGTCCCCATCAAGAAAATCCTGTAGCCCGCTCATACAATCACTCACATCCTTCCCGCTCAACAATTCTTCCAGAGCGCTATCTGGCGTGTCGAATGATGGGTTGCTCGCATCTGAACTCCCCGTGCTGTTGCATTCATCCTTTCATTCGGTTCCACGACCATAAATGTACACACTCATCAGCATGACCAACATGAGATGCTGTGCAACACAAAGCAGTAGCTCCCTAGCCTGGGACTCACGGTGTTGAGTTGCCTGAAGTGTTACCTTGTATGATTCCAGCACAACTGGCCTCGTTGCAGTTTCCTTCGCCTGCGCACGATCGGGACTCGGCTCTCTTCTGGGGCTGCTCATCGCTTCAGCTGCCACCCTCCTGCCTCGGATGACCTACACAAAAGCATCGCCACGATTTTTTCATCGACTGCGTTGTCGAATGTGAGTCTGCTACGCTGTGCTCACGATACTTTCGTCGAACCATTTCCATGCAGAAGGATGACCACTCACAACTATCAAACACGCCACGCCAGAAAATTTCCGACTCCATGAGAGCTCACGTAAGCCCCTTGCGGGTTTCGATAGCACAGCAGAAGGTCTCCTTCCTCCAGTTTGTGGAAGCTCACAAAACTCCCGATTTTCTCCAGCAAATACATACGGCTCTTGTTGTTCGGCCAATACCTGTAGCGCGCCGTCCAGTATTGGCCGGTATGGTAGTCCATCAAGGACATTGTGATACCCTCCCGCACAGCCAAAAACGGTAGATGTCTTTCTGCATCCTTCTGCACAAATCAGACGGGAGCGTTTCGCAGGTGCAAAATATCAGAAAACCCCCTCGAATTCTTCCATATCTTCCATGCTTCTAACAATACCCACACCTGATGCATTCTGACACACAATCTGTCAGTGACGGACACTAAGCTGGGTCTACGCATCGACCTTCGGCAAGATGATACGCCCCAAGCTGCTCACGTCGCTTGCTCGCAGTTCTTTCTGAAAAAGAAACTGAAACCCCTGCCCAATCGCCACAACAAAAGGCTCAGACATCGATGACAGACTAACCGAATAGCTGTCCCCTCCAGCATTGTCGATCAAACACCAGCCCCTGCAGCCGCCCACTGCCAAGTATCCAGCCCGCAACCTCCCACAGGTGCCAACCCAGCACTGCAACAAGCAAAAGTCAAGCGGAGCAAGGAGCGCCGTGGCGTACCTGGCAGCATTCGAGGTTGCTCATTGCTCGCCGTTGTCGTGACTGATGATGTCGAAGCTTGTCCGCAGAGTCCGATCGATTGCGCCGCGCTTTCAAATACCCCCTTTGATTCAGCAAGCACGACTTGCGAAGCGCTCGACTGTATGCTGTCGCTTTGTTTGGAACATCGCCGGTGCCCACAAGGTCGGCTCTATCACCCCAATTGCCATTCCATGGCGGATGAAACTGCGGAGCGTTCATCTGGGCGAGATTTGTGCTGGAATTGGGGTTGTAATGCCATTTGGGCGGGGGTGTCGTACCCCAACATTCCATCCCTTGCATCATCGTGGCAGCGACGAGCTCAGAACGCTGACCCTCTGGTGCACACCTAATGTACTGCATGAGCATCGAACCCCTCGAACGCCAGCACCAGTCCTTTCTATATCGCTTCGTTCGCCGACTTCTACAGGGCGCACAGTATCGCTGTAACTCCTCTTCTTATTCGCAGGAATAGAAGCCTGGCAACGAGCTTCGGTCGCCCCTGAGGGTGATCTTTCGTTTATTCCGATTATCCTGCTTCTCATTCATGCCCGTCCCCAGGTCATTCCACCAGAAACCATCCCGACACTGATCACAGAACGCAACACAGTTGAGGAACGAGCGCGAAGCATGCCGGCCTTCGATTGATCGTCTATCGGAGAACGCAACTAACTAATTCCACAACTCTAAACGTCAACACCCGATCCACCAGACACCCTCACATTTCGAACCTTGCAACCCCACTCTGATCGACCTCAGGCATCTAGGCCATTCAGTAACCCGAGGCCGCTGCTCGGCTCTCAAACCACGGAATCACGGCCCACAACTAAAACGATCCTGCACAGTACATGCAAGCACGCAAGCCAGTCGTTAGCCCCCGAAGAGCTGCGCACCGCACATCAAATCGATTACTCTCAGTTACTGCAATACCACTGGGTACCCAACGTCCTTTGCGCTTGTGTGATGCTCTGGGCTCGTTCACGTCCCTGGTGCCGCGCGACATCGCAGAGCGGGTGAGGTGGATCGTGGGCACCGTTCGGCAGAGCGCACTGTCCATCCAGTCCTCGGCCGCCAATGAGGGCGGATTACGTGGGGTTGCAATGGAAGACGAGTATGGCAGGGATGGGGCTTGGATGAGACTCGTAAAGTTGCCATTGGCTAACTTGAATATCTACCAAAGGGCGATTTAGTTGTCCGCTCTTAGCTGACGCCACTGGTCCTGCGATGCATTGTCCTCGTCCCTGGCCCGCCTTCGACTCATCACCCGGATGCCCTCACTCTCCCTCCCTCCCTTGACCCCTTCCTTGTTTGGCTTTAAATTCTATTTTGAAATTTTCTTACAAATTCGAAATCAGCTTGTAACCAACTTGAAATTTTAATCTTTCTGCTTGTTTTCCTTACCGGCAGTACATCTTTAAAATCTCTACTTCAACTTCAAAAATGTAGTTAGAATGACACGGTTATAAATCTAAAAATTACTTCAAAAAGCTTACATGAATATTTTCTGCTAAGGTTTCATTTAGAATTTCAATTACTCTACCTACCATTTACCAGGTTGTGATCTCATAAATATTCAAAATGCTGTATTCCTATTAAATGGTCAAAAAACTTCCTTCACATGTGAATCCACTTTGAATTGGATCATTTGATAATCTCTTGGCCCTCACTGCTCCATGCTCATGTTCACATGTTTCACAATATCTACAATAGAAAGAATGATTGAAATGGGAATCATTCCCTCAAATCAACCCTACTAGTTCCTGGTGGTGCTACTATACCCATAATTCAAATTTGAGCTTGAGAAGAGGAAAATATGATGTGATATGTAATATTCTCCAGGGAGGACATGCAATCAAGGGGTCAGATGAAGCAGCAACTGAGGTTTGAGAAAATAGTGGCAAATCAACCATTTGCTGTCCATGTAAAAGTCAGCAGCCCTAGACCTAGTGTCATGAACAATACAAAACATCCCAAAAGCATTGTAAACCAATAAGAAACTTTATCTTTCTGCTCATTGTCTTTATTGGCAGTACTGACTTTGTTCAACATGTATGTAATCTTCTCAAGATTGCCGTCTTTGGCAGCCTTCTGGATGTCATCCTCCACTGCAGCTAAAAGTTTAAGTTTGAGCTCCTTCTGTTGGTCCCTACTTGCCCAGATCCATCCTGTTGTATTCCATAAAAAAATCCCAAAATAAACCCCCGTGACTACATCTACACTATAATGATGTCGTTCACGAATTTCCCTTTGTGCAGTATGTACAACTAGTAGCCATATTAAAGTCGAAGTCCAGCCAGGATAGGCCTCCTGCACATTGACGAAAAGAAATCACAATTAACAATTCAGTACAGATTAGTAAAGGAAGTTGGTGGTTCTTCATGATATAGAAGTTTGCAAATGATTCGTGGATGAAGAACTAGATGACTGTCATACCTGCCAAGCCATGGCTGTTAAAACTGCCACGAATACATGACCACTGAACATAAGATCATTGCATCCACCGGCGGCACTGTTCTTAAACGTGTTAAACCAGTCATATCCTGTCTGCCCAGTCTTTGCAGGATCTCTGGGTCTCAATATGTTCACCAGAAATTGCAGTGAACCCCAGTTGGGCACGTATTCTGCAGGGTAGTTTTCAAGTGACGCTGCGAAAAAAATAAACAAAAATAATAATAAATTCCTACACGTTGAACAGAGATTATATTCAGAGAAAATAAAATACCAAACAGCAATGCAGACCTAGTTCATCTCATTTCTTTATCTCTTTTTCTCAATTGGAACTTACCAAATGCCTCGTCCCGACTGATGATTTGTTGGACCATTCGAGGGTCCTTCGAGTACGGCACGTAGTACTTCTGTGCCCATGGATGTGGGTGGTTGGCGATTGTAAAACGTGCCTGAGCACACCAGGGTCTTGCCGAAGGCAGAATAGTTGCAGTAAATGTCGAAACTCGGATGAGCCTTCCGCATGCCATGGTGAACATATAGCGCGCACCCAGTGCCATACCCGGAGCTTTCACGCAACCATACAACACCGAAAATGCCAAAAGGAGGAATAGCATCAAATAATGATGAAGCCCAATGATTGGCTCTCGTAGAAGAGCCACAATTACTTTTGGAAGCTTCTCGTTCGAAAATAGGACCGTCCATTGTCCTGAATCTGGCAGAGGCGCAGTATTCCTGGTATTCTAAAACAATCTAATTAGGCACGGTCTCATGAGCTTCTTGGTTACACAGTTGAATAAATTTATATATATATATATATATATATACATTTCACTCAAAATCACTTATTGTTTACACCTTGTCTTCGATGTTTGATCGGACTTGCAGGTACAGACATACGAATGAACCGCTTACTGAAACAGAGGACAGTGATGACCTTTATCTCGCAGCAGGATATAGCTCATTGCATGCGGTAATTTTTTAACACACATTTGCACTTTTACACCACGGATCGACATGAAAGAATCCCATCGAGCCGATTTGAGAGGATGAATTCAGCAGAGATGAAGCTCCTGGTATTCCAATCAGGCAGGAAACCTACCGCTTGTTCACTAAAGCTTCTCCAGTGGTACTTGGGCAAATACTAACAAAAATCAAGAGATAAACGTTCAGAATACTCACCAGTGCCAATCCATACCCAGAACAGCAGTCACATATTGCATAGCCGCAGCCTCCACGAAGAGACAACAAACCATGAACACCAGGGAACCTACGAACATTCCAATCGACCTAAGCTCCTGGGTCCAGTAATCGTAGTTCAGGGCACGACATACAATTGCTACAGCAAAGACTCCCCAAATAACAGGTCTTAGAATCTCGTGCAGCCCCGGGAGGATTTCTCTCAAGTAATCTGCTCCCAGATATGCTACTGCCACCACACCTAATGCATTGGGATACGATGCCCTTTTCATGGCAGGCCTCTCTTTCTACTTCCCCCTTCAGCAAGGGAAGTATAGATTTCTTAGGAGAAAAGGCCTCCCCCTTCCCAGAATTGTTGATATCTTACACAACTATGGATGTTGGCATTGGACGCATCTGCCCAAGCCGAGGCATACGAGCTGCCATGTATCAAGCGAGGTTCGGAAGCCAGAAACTAACATACACAGGAACGATTTGAGCCTCGCAAGAGAGTCTGCTAAATGCAGCACGAATCTGATGACGAAGAATTAATACTGCAATAACCGCTAATGTTTCACACATGATGTAAAAACTAAACAGCAGCAACAAAGATATCTTACAGATAACTACAAAAGTTTGGCGTCAATCGCATGTACACAATTTATTCACCGAAAACGAAAACAGAACATTGTAGACGAATTGAACATTGATGCACCATACACGTAGAATTGCTAAGCAAAATGCGGCTCCGATCGGACCACATGCTGGCCGTGATCATCACATTCACAGGAAGACTATGCGTTTTCAATTCCGTTCTCTTCATGGTAACAAGCTTTAGAACCATTCACCGTGAAGAGCAACCCTCCGTGCAGCGTTCCGCAAACTGCCGACAACTTCTCCTCCGTTTTCACTTTTTCACTTTTTCTTTTTCTTGCTCTTCCTTCTTTTCACTTTTCTTTATCTGTTTCTTTTTCCCTCTCTTTGCTACTTTAAGAAAGAAATATGTATTGAAGATAATTTTGGCTTTCATGCACAAACTCTTATTTATAAAATTAATGAGCCACCATAGACAACTTAGCCATGGATTCTCTAGGACTAAATAATTTATTCCTTTGTTTCTATTTGTTATACTTGTCCAAATATTTTCTTGCCCAAATTTGGATTTTTTATCCATTTGATGAAAAAAATATAGTAGATATTGTTTATTTCTTCAAAAGCTCATAAGTTGTATCTTTTTGTTGAGAGCATTAAATGTAGCTGACACTCTCCATAACATTCACTATAGTTATAATAAATATTGTAGATACAATATTTAGAATGTAGTAGAGAGAAATTATCTTCTCTTCTTTTTTTTATATACAAGTGAGACAACCACATTAATACACAGTTTTTTTAGAAGTTGTCTCTCCTTCTATATACTCTCTTGTGTATGTATGTATGTGCACATTACTTCTAGCTATTCTTGTATCTTTCTAAAACATTCTCAACATGTTATCAGTATGATTGCTCTTATGCACTACTCTTGGTTCTTAAAAACTTGTGTATACCTTGTCTTTTTTTTTTGTTTGTTTGTTTCTTTTCTTTTCGTTTCTTTTCTTTTCTTTTCTTATATTGCATCGCCTTGCTTGCTTGTTGCACCCTACCAATTGTTGCTGCTCCCGCCTGCCTTCACAACTCTGCTACCAAACTATTATTGACTATTGTACCTTGTCATTTGTCATTGCTATTATTGTCGTCATTATCCGCAATTGCTATCACTGTCCGCTATCCATCATCCACCATCTGCAATTGTCATTACTGCTGTCAATTATTGCTTGCCGCTTGCTATTGCTATTGCAGTCCACTATAGATTCCTATTTTTGTGGAAAAAATATAAAAAATAAAAAATAAAATCTTTCCAAAAAATTTAATATTTTTGATTTCAAGTTCAACTTTATTATTTTATTTGACTTTATATTTCAAGATGCATTATATTCAACCTTTTTTACTTGATTTTGTATTTTTTTTACACATTCATTTATAATGAGTGCTTTAACATCCTCAATTGTATCCATTATATTTCCAACTATCATCATTGTATCCCAACATTTTCAAGCTTTTTTATTTTTACCGTTGGCTGTTGATAGAAACAATTATATATTATAGGCAAAAATGGAAAAAAAAAATTATTTGCAAAACAATTCTCACATACAATTTTGTTTGAAGAATCTTTTATTATAAGTACTTCTATTCATCTTGTTATTTGTTAGAAAGCACTTCTTCTCCTTCGTCGTCATCTTATACTTGCATTACAACATTAATATTTAAAAATGGAAGATTTAACTAAGCTTTGGGAGAATCTTAAATCCAAGTTTGATCATCAAAAGACCATTTTCCTTCCACATGCACATCATAATTGGATACATTTACATATCTTGGATTTTAAAAATTTAAATGCTTTCAACAATAAAATGTATTATATTGTCTCATAGCTACAATTGTGTAAACAAAGCATCTATGAAGAAGAAATGATTGAAAAAACTCTCTCTACATTTCTTTCCACATCTATTGTGCTTACACAACAATATAAGAACATTAAATTTTAAAGTCATCATGATCTCATGTCCTATCTATTTCTTGTGGAGAAACAAAATGAGCTACTTTTGCATAATGCAAAAACTCATCCTATTGAAACCAAAATTCTAGAATCTCATGCACTTAATAATTCAAAGTCTAAGAAAAAATTATACAAACATGGAAAAGGTGCTCATAAGCACCAAGGTAATTATGATTGTGGCTATTTTTGCATGTATGAAAAGAATAAATATTCTATTGTTAATTAAAATAAAAAATAAAAATTAGAGATGCATTCTTGCTATAAATGTGGCATGATTGGATATTTAGTACATGCATGCCACACTTCAAAATACTTTATTAAAATGCTTCAAGAAAACAAAAAGCTTTTAGTTGAGACTTGTAAAGTTCATACCATGGATGCGTCCATAGATTTAATTAGTATTGATGATTTAGATACTTATATGAATGACAAAACCTCTAATGTTGAGTCAAATGATGCATTCATTAATTCTACAACAACATATACTATCCTACAAGATAGATGGTTTTTTATTGAAAAATCTTTGATGACCATGGCTGAAATAAATACGTTTTGTTTCTAAAAGGAAACAACAATAGTAAAATTACTTGCAAGATCCATCATAAAATATAAATATGCAATGTTTGTACCCTCAGCACCTCAAAGCCTAATCAACTACCAAGATGTGTGTGCCAATGGTTATTACCTTTCAACCACCATTTTAGATAGATAACATGTTTTGGTTCTTGCACAAAATCATAAATTTGTTGAAAAATCCTTTGTTGCAAAAAAAATGGTTTATACTAGATTATAATTTAGCCTCTCATTATATTTAATTTTGCATCATCTATCACAGAGAGTCATGTTTTTCTTTGGCATAGATGATTGGAACATCCAAGATCTACATTATTTTGGAAGATAATTCCTTGTATAATTAGGTATAATTTAAACTTATAAATATAGATTCTATAGAATTATGTCATACATGTATGTAAGGTAATATGATTGCTTAACCTTCAATTTGGAAACTTCCACGAGAGTTACCACTAAAGCTTGAAAAGCTACATGGTAATATTTGTCGTCTTATTAATCCAATATCTAGACCATTTTGTTATTTTTTGATCTTTGTTGATGCATTGGTCAAACAATCACATGTTTTATTGTTATCAATTCAAAACATGGTGTTTGCTAATTTTATATCTATGCTTATTTGTTTTTGGGAATATTTTCTTAATTATCCTATTAAAACATTGCATATGGATAATACAAAAGAATTTGCATTAAAGTCTTTTAAAGACTATTATATTATAATAGGGATTGAATTGACATATTGTGTTTCATATGAATATGCTCAAAATGGGCTTATAGAGTTATTTATAAAGAGTATACAACTCATTACTCGACCACTCTTTCTTCAAGCAAATTTATTTACATCTATATAAGATCATGTAGTTTTGCATGCTGTAGCATTAATATGCCTTTGTCCTTCTTCTCTTGAAATTATTACACCACAAGAGCTCATTTCAAATCATGTTCCTAATATATCTCACCTACAAGTGTTTGATTGCTGTGATTGGATTCTAGTACTAGAATTTCAATGGCGTACTATTGAAGCTCAATCACAAAAAAAAAATATATGCTGGTTTTGATTCACTAAGCATTTTATTGTAATATTGATCTTCTATTCGACATATTACTACATTGTTGTATTTTATGAAGTTTTGCTTGAGAATTCATTTGAGATGTGGTTGTGGATGGTAGGAATGAAATTGCAATAATAAAAATCATAATTCTATTAGAATTTTAAATAATTCTTATTAAACTTTAATAAGTGCTAAAAAATCTTCAATCAAATTCTAAAAAAAAATTCAAAGAAATCAATAAATAAATAATAAAAAAATCCTAAAGAAATTCAAAAGAAATCCACAATATATCTTAAAAGAATCTTTAAAAAATCCTAAATAAATATTACAATAATTTCAATTATATCTTTAATAAATTTTAACTAAGTTGTAATTTTATCCTAATTGAAATCTTTATTCACTTCAATCGAATCTTAGGCCAAATTTTAAATCCTAAGCAAAATATATATTCTAAATGTTAAAAAAATTCTAAACTCTATATCCTAAATCTTAAGCAAATCTTGAATCTCAAGCAAATCTTAACTCTAATTCTAAATCCTAGTCTAATTTAGAACCATAATATCTATTGCTTAAATCATTATTCTTTCTTAAAATTTCATATAATCTTCAAAAATTAAATTAGCAACAAATACAAAAGTTTTGAAGATAATTACACTTATCAATTGGAAGAAAAATCCTAAAATCTGCATGGATATTGGCTAGCCTCCTATTCCAATGTGAATGTTGAACTTCTAGCACCAATATCTCCTTTTCAAAATATTAATTTGTTCTTAAATTTCATATATATGTAAAAAATTATGTCTATTATCCTCACTCAAATTTCACTTCAATCCAATTATTAGATTGTTAAAAATCTTAGAAATCCTAACTGCCTCTCAAAATCTAATTTTCAAGACTTCAACCTACTTGAAATTTAATAACCTTCAATTCATTTATTTGATGAAGCTCAAGCTTTCAGTATATACTTTAGACAATTATTCATATAGGTCCTCAAATTTTGAATGGTGGATCTACTACCAAACTCATGAAATTTTTTAAAACCTAATATCTTTTTTATTTCACAAATCCCAGAATCGCATAAAACAACTATGACTTCGTAAGGCTCTTTCAAGTCATTACACACTTAAATCATTCAAAATTAATGCCTAAAAAAACCTTATCTTCTCCCAAATCTTTTTCTTCAATCTCCAAAAGAACTTCGAAATTATTGTAGATGCTTGATTTTGTACCTCAAGGTCTGATTTCAACACATGTTAATAATTGGTCTTCTTTGGATATCAAATTTTGTCCTTTTGAATTAATTTTAGTTCAAATCAAGTCCTTACTTCTTCTTACGTTGTCGTATTATGTGCTACCTTGTTTGAGAATGCAACGGGCATCTGGCTGTGGAAGATAAAACAGTGTTTTACAAGTATCTGAGTAGGCTAGTGGGTTTCAACCATCTCAATACAACTATTTCAGATTTCAATGTAAAAGCTTAATTTCATTAGAAAATATTTAGAAACATTATTTTTAATAACTTCAAAATATTATAAACACAAATCTTTTATTAATTGTTATTTTTTTATTTT